GCCGAGGTGGGCTGGCTCCCGCAGCTCGGCGGCCCCCTCGGCGAGCCGCCGGCGCCCGGCGAGCCGCCGGCGCCCGGGGAGCCGCCCGCGGAGCCGCCGGGCTCGCAGCTCGTGCCCGCGGCGGGGCCTGGCGGCGGCGGGCCCGAGCCTGTGCGCGTGGAGCCCGGCGGCGCCCTCGGGCGGCCGATCGCCGGCGGCCGACGGCGTCGTCGCCGGACGGCGACGTCGACGGCGGCGGCGGCGACGACGACGGCGGCAGCGGCGACGACGACGACGACGACGACGACGACGACGACGACGACGGCAGCGGCGACGACGACGACGACGGCGACGACGACGACAACGGCAGCGGCGACGACGGCGACGGCGGCAGCGACGACGACGACGACGATGGCGGCGGCGACGGCGACGACCACTGCGACGGCGACGACGACGACGACGATGATGGCGGCGGCGTGGGCGGCTGCAGCGGCGGCTGCGGGCCGGCGGCGAACGTCGTGCAAGAAGGCGGGCGGCGCTCTTGTGCGGCTCCAGAGACCACCATTCAGTCGGGGGTGGCCAGGGCGGGAGGGATGACTCGGGGGTTGGGATGCCATGACCGGGACCATGATAACTCCCTGGATGTCGTTGCCCCCCTCCCCTTGTCCCAACACGTCCCATGGTGCCCCCCTGGGCCGCGCACGTGCCTCTGGCCATGATTTGCGAATCCCCCTCTTGGACGCCTCCCTTGTGGACGCCCCCGCATGCAGCCGGGCCGAGCCAGGGGGGGCACCACTGTGGGGTCGGACGAAAGGGTGTACCGTTAAGTCGGGCCTGCCCATCTACAGAAGGAATATTCGAAAATAGTTCAAACAAATTCGGGGAACTTTTTTTGTACTTTGAGCATTTTCCCCTACCTAGGCTCTGCCTTGAAGGGTTCTTACTCTGTTTGCTTAAAGGGGCCGGGCAGTGCAAATCGCCCCGGGCGGTTCCCCCGGCCCCTTGGGAGCGGTTCCCCTAGTCCCCTGGGAGTTTTAGCTTAGCTTTAGCTTAGCTTTAGCTTAGCTTTAGCTTTAGCTTAGCTTTAGCTTAGCTATAGCTTAGGTTTAGTTTAGCTTTAGCTTAGCTTTAGCTTGGCGTTAGCTTAGCTTTACCTTAGCTTTAGCTTAGCGTTACCTTAGCTTTAGCTTAGCTTTACCTTAGCTTGACCTTAGCTTTACCTTAGCTTTACATTAGCTTTACCTTAGCTGTAGCTTAGCCTTAGTTCAGCTTTAGCTTATATTTCGCTTACTTGTAGCTTAGCGTTAGCTTTGCTTTATCTTAGCTGTCGCTTAGCTTTACCTTAGCTGTACCTTAGCTGTACCTTAGGTTTACCTTAGCTTTACCTTAGCTTTAGCTTAACTGCACCTTAGCTTTAGCTTAGCTGTAGCGTAGCTTTACCTTAGCTTCAGCTTAGCTTCAGCTCAGCTTTAGCTTAGCTTTAGCTTAGCTTTAGCTTAGCTTGAGCTTAGCTTTAGCTTAGCTTCAGCTTAGCTTCAGCTTAGCTTTAGTTTAGCTGTAGTTTAGCTTTACTGTTACTACTATTGCTGTTTTCCTAGAGGATCCAACTCCTAGGTAGGGTCGCACTGGGATAATTATCTTATGTCTGTTTACGTGTATGTTTCGTCCAAACTCCCCCTGTAGGGGGACAGGCCCGACCTCAGTGTACCGAGGTTCAAGATTTTCTTCGTCTTCGTCGGCTCGCGGCGGCCTCCCAGCGGGGTGCAATCTGGCAGCTGTGCCTCGCCGCGAGCGATCCAGGGGTGCCCAGCTCGCCCCGAACGGCCGCGGGAGGCCCGAGTTATGACCCGAAGGCTAGACGACGAGGATCACCCGTGCCAGACGAACAGCCAGGGATTTGGAGAGTGGGGGGCGAGATTTTGTTGCACGCAGCCGGTTTCTGCCCCGCCGCCGCGCGCTTTCCTTAATTGATGCATGGAGTGTCCGGCGGGAATCAGCTGCGTGATCTTTTTCGCTGACCTCGCCTCTGCTGGCCCCTCCTCTTTCGTCCGGCACGGCACAGACATCGAGGGTCGAGGAGAGGTCGTGAGCCTTGAGACGGGGGTCAATGTCAACGGAGGTCAGCCAGGACGCAGGGTCTTGCAGAATCTTGCACTGCCAGAGCTGCACTGACCCGAGCTTGCGCGCAGGATCCCGCAGGATCGTGCAGGGTCCTGCACAGCTTGGCCGACCCTGGCCTGCCTGGGCCCGGGCCAGTTGCAGCCCGAAGTGGGGGGGAGCATCGAGGAGCGAGAGGGTGTGCGGCAGGTTCGTGCGGCGTTGGCGCGCGGGGCGAGGTCGGCGAAGGCGTTCAAAAGGTTGAGTTCTGCGACGCGGGAGCACCGATGGGCACGGCGACGCCAGAGGCCCCGACCGGATTCAACCTGGAACGAGCGGGGCCGCAATCGATTCGAGGTTGAAGGATCGACGCGGTGTCAAGAACCTTTGCGCGCGCGCCGACGCTGCACGAGCCTACCGTGGGCGTTTCGGGGTGTCTCTGGGAATCCTGGGGATCCTGCGGGGGGCCAGGGCGGCCCGTATCCTGGAGGAGTTGGCGGCCCCCTCAGTGGCGACCCACCTTTCAGGAGCCGGGCGACGGCTGGCAAACCCAGGGCTGCCGAAACGGAGCTCCGGGAAATTGTTGTTGCTTCTTCCGGGAAGCAGCCCGTGTATGATTCCGTGCGCTGAGCACCGAGCTTGATTCCGGAAATGATTGTCTCTGTTCCTCCGGGGGAGACCGCTTCGGGGCAGCCACTCGGGGGGACATGCCCGACCTAGCTGTCGTGTCGTTGTTGCGTCGATCTCGGTCGGTCTCGGTTTTCGCTGTCGGCTCGGTCGCGTTTCGGCTGCGTTTTGTCGCTGTGGACGTCTTCGGCAGACCGCCTGAGAGGGCCGCCCGGCGGGGGGCTGGGGGGCTGGTCAGGAATGGGGACGCCCAGAGCCTTCGCGTCGCGCAGAGATCACGGCACGATGTTTCGGGTCATTCTCGGTCTGTGGGCGCCTCCTCCTCCTCCTCCTCCTCCTCCTCCTCCTCCTTCTCCTCCCTGTTCCCCCTCCCTCTGTCCTCATCCGCCTCCTCCTCCTCCTCCCCCTCCTCCTCCTCCTCCTCCTCCTCCTTTCCTCCTCCTCCTCTCCTCCTCCTCCTCCTCCTCCTCCTCCTTCCTCCTCCTCCTCCTCCTCCTCCCTCCCCCTCCTCCTCCTCCTCCGTCTCCTCCTCCTCCTCGTCCTCCTCCTCGTCCTCCTCCTCCTCCTCCCCTCCGCCTCCTCCTCCTCCTCTCCTCCGCCTCCTCCTCCTCCTCCTCCTCCTCCTCCTCCTCCTCCCTGTTCCCCCTCCCTCTGCCCCTCCCCTCCTCATCCTCCTCCTCTCCCCTCCTCCTCCTCCTCCTCCTCCTCCTTCTCCATCCTCCTCCTCCTCCTCCGCCTCCTCCTCCTCCACCTCCTCCTCCTCCGCCTCCTCCTCCTCCTTCTCCTCCTCCTCCTCCTCCTCCTCCTCCTCCTCCTCCCGTCATCTCAGTCATTTTCGGTCTGTGGGCCCAGGGCCGCCATGCAATACGCTCGGGCGCCGTCCGTCTGTCGGGCGCGGCGCCCGCCCAGCCTCGGCCCCCGTCGATTTTGAGCAACACGTGTTCCGGGGAGCGAGACGTCATGAGACATAGGCTCCAAGATTCCCATACCCCCTCGGGTAATGAATAAAACAGGGCGGGATGTCTTTCCGTATTTTCGGCCTCGGGGGGCCCTCGCCGGGCCTCGGGACCGTCAAAAAACGACTCAGGATGAAAAACCGGTCCAGGGGAATGGGTCGAGACCTCCAGGGGACCCCGCATTGGAAAAAAATCATGACGTCGGGGGTCTGGGTTTCCAGGTGAGCGAGAGGTCGTGATCAACACGATCCAAGATGTCCATGCTATCTTGCTCACCCGCGAGGCCAGAGACGAATAGTCGAGTGCGGGTGGCCGAGGGCCGCTAGAAATGCCTGAACTCCCAAAACGTGTACTGGGCCAGTCGCAGCATGATCATATAATCGCCCTACCTGTTGTTCGATATCGCTCCAAGTGTTCGTCCCCCACGTCGGGCGGGCCCGCCCACGGACCCGACCGATATTCGGAGACCCCATCCAGCCCGCCCCCTTGGCCTTGCACAAGCAGAGCCCGCCTGGAGCGCCAGCGTAACCTCGGGCATGTCCCTCCACGGGAGGACTATTCCAGAGTATTCGAAAGGTGCTCTGGGGACGAGCTCTCGTGCTCTTTTGACTACCGTTGCCTATTCTTTTGACTATTGCCCATCTGTTCTTCCGCATTCCGCCTGTACAATGACATGCCCGACACCTAATGGAGGATGACGATTTATAAATGACCGGGGGTCGTGTTCACGCGGCGGCGCCCGGGATGACGATTAGAAAAAACCGGCTGCGGGCTGGAAAACTATGTTTTAAATAGTTCTCCTCCAGTCAGAAACTTGTGCAGAAATAGCAGAAAACTAGTTGTTGAATCGTTCCCCTCATTTTTTTATTCATCGTCATCCCGCATTAACGCCCGCGGCAGCCTTCCTGCCCGCGGCGGTCTGGGGTCGGGGGAGGCCCCGCGGCGGGGCTGTGCGCCCCGATCCCGACCCCGGCCTTGCCCACGCACACAGCGGATGCTGCCAGCAGCGGCCCTGGCCCCCAGGGGTGGCCCCTCAGCTCTCCCAGGGAGGCGCAGGGCGGCTTCCAGAGCGCCCCATCTCGACCCAGACGTGATCGCGTCGTGGACAAAAAATCAGGATGGGAGGTTTCTGGCCAATTTCGGCCTCGGGGGGCCCTCGCCGGGCCCTGGGGATGGTCAAAAACGGCTCAGGATGAAAAGCCGGTCCCGGGGAAGCGGTCGGGACTTCCAGCGACCCCGCATTGGAAAACATCAGGACGCCGCATGCCTGGGGGGGCCCAGGGGGGCCCCCCTAGAGGGCGCGAAGAAGAAGCTGGGAGTACATACCCTGCGGGCCAGGACCCCTCCCTGGCAGCACCCGACGCCACGGCCGAGGGGGGCAGCGCGTCGAGCTGCCGCGCCCCAGCCGCCCTCCTCCTCCTCCTCCACCTCCTCCTCCTCTTCCTCCTCCTCCTCCTCCTCCTCCTCCATCTCCTCCTCCCTCTCCTCCCCCCTCTCCCTCTCCTCCTCCTCCTCCTCCTCCTCCTCCTCCCTCCTCCTCCTCCTCCTCCTCCCTCCCTCCTCCTCCTCCTCCTCCTCCTCCTCCTCCTCCTCCCTCCTCCTCCTCCTCCTCCTCCTCCTCCTCTCCTCCTCCTCCTCCTCCTCCTCCTCCTCCTCCTCCCCTCCTCCTCTCCTCCTCCTCCTCCTCCTCCTCCCCCTCCTCCCTCCTCCCCCTCCAACCCTGTCTGCCGCCCCCTGGCGGCCTGGCCCGCCGAGGTGCTGCGGGCAGCGCCGCCTCCGCGGCAGCCGAGCAGGCCCTGGCCCTGCTGCGGCGGCAGCGGCGGGTGCGCGACCCGCTGGCCAGGCCCGCCGTGCGGCCCGGCGTCGTGTACGGCTTCGACGACGAGACGGCGATGGCCGCCGACGCCTACCAGCAGTGGCAGCACGACGCGGCGTGCCTGAGGCTGCCCCACCGGCGCGCGGGCGACTACGCGGAGGCCGGCGCCTGCGACGCGCGCGAGGCGGATCACCTCGGGCTGCTGCTGCGGGCGCTGCTGGACCCGCCGCCGCACGCCCTCGGGGGCCTGGGCGCGGCGCCAGAGCCAGCGGGGCCCGGGCACGCCGCGGGCGGGCTCGAGTTGCAGGTGGTCCACGGCGCCTCGGGCGCCGCCGAGGCTCCAGGAGAGGCAGCGCCCCCTGGTGAGGCACTCGGGGGAGGAAGAGGTACCGATGCCGCTCCCCTTGCTTCGTCTTCGACGCGTCTGGCCTCCTGGGACGCCCTCGCCACCGCTGGGTTCGCCTCCAGATTCTGGCCAAGGAGAGGTCCAGGGAGTACGGTCGGGAACGTTGGCCTGTAGCGTGTCGCTCTGCCGCTCCTAGCCCACCACGCTCCGGCGCGGCACGCGAGCCACGCCCCAGCCCCCGAACATCCACGTCCCGAGCCTGTCTGGACCTCCCGCCCCGCGGAGTGGAGCGACACGCTGTCAGCTTGCAGGGCATCGCGTGCCGCCGGGGCCGCCGCCGCCACGCGCTGGGCAGGCGTTCCTCACCGCAGCACCGGCGCAGTGTCGGCATCTCTTAGGCTCTCCAGGCACCGCCGCCCGCCGTTGGCGGCGAGGACTGCCTCGGCCAGGCCCCGTGGCTCGGGCAGGCCGGGCCCGTGCCCGAGCAGGCGGGCGAGCTCGCGGGCGAGCTGGGGCCAGAGGCGCAGGACGAGCGCACCGCCGAGGTTCGGGTGTCGGCGGCGAGCGAGGGGGGGAGTGGGAAGGAGAGGGTCTTCTCACACGGTGGCGGGGCTTCTCAGCAGCCCTCGCGCCTGTGAGAAGCTTGTCGTGTCTTCGGGGAAGGCGCAGAAAGCCTCTCAGCAGGCCGGGGAAGTTCCGAGCCTTCTGAGGAGGCTGGCTCCTTCTCACTTCCCCCGAGGGCTCGCCGCAAAGAGTGCTGCTGAGCAGCTGTCCTGGCCCGAGCCCGAGCTCCGAGCGCTGCAGTGTGTCACCCTAGGGGCGTTCTCGCACGGGCCTCGGCCTCCCGGGCCCTCTGGCAAACATCTGGCTCAACGGTGCCGCAGGATGATTGGGCCTAGGTTTAAGTCGGGCATGTCCCTCTACAGGAGGAATATATGCAAGCGTGGTCAGAAGATCGTCCGGGGGCGATCTTTCGATTATCTGCTGGCTATCTTTGAGTATGGTTCGCCTCTGGCTCATCTTCCTTCCAAAGTCCGCCTGTAGGAGGACGTGCCCGACCCAAGTCCAGGGCTCCGGTCTTGATTTGGCAGAGTGTCCCTCTGCTTCGCGACGTAGGATATCAGGGAAGGTGCCCCCATCGTCGCACGCCCTCTTGGAACCGCCGAGCCCCTCATGGGCCTCGTGTGAAAATGGGGGTGCTGCGGAAGCCACCTGCGTCTCCCCTGGAAAGAGCTGGGGCCTCCCTGGGCCAGGGCTATGATGTTCCAGCCTACTGTAGCCTTGACCACGAGAAAGAATTTCGAGCACCAAGAATGTACCGAAACTCAATGGTTTTCAGGTGTCGGGCCCTGGGAGACTCGTCCGACACTGTTTCGACACTGTTTCGACACTTTTCCGGGCGCTCGAAATTATTTCTGGGATGTGGTCCTTAGGTACGACGGGGTCAACATAAGGCCAGGGTTGCTTCTGGCAGCGCCCAAGAGGTGGGGAGGATCATCCGCAACTGCCTGCGGGCGGACCCGCCCACGGTCGCGTTCCACACGCTCGTGCCCCCCGGCGGCGCGGACCGCGCGACGGCGGCTTCGACATTCGCCGCCGTGCTGGCGCTGGCGAGCGCTGGGGAGCTCCGCGTGCAACAGGACGGCCCCTACGGCGACATCGTCATCTCCGAGCCGTGACCGACGGGGGGTCCTCTACAACCCAGACCCCCATCGGGCAATGAAAAAATCATGACGCAAGGTTTTTCGCTAGTTTCGGCCTGGGGGAGCCCTCGCCGGGCCTCGGGACCATCAAAAAACGACTCAGGATGAAAAAACGGTCCAGGGGAATGGGTCCAGACCTCCAGGGGTCGACGTGATCAAAAAAACATGACGTCGGGGGTCTGGGAATACAGTCTTCTTTGGGAAGCGCTGCGCACGCTTCAGCGAAGCATGCGCGGGACGCGACTGCTCGAGCAGCACCCTGGTGAGTTCGCAGCAGCAGTCGGCTTGCCACAACCTGCCATGTTTATTGCCCAGTGTGTGCGGGGCACTGAGCAGTCAGGTGTTGGGCTTTCCCTTGGCATTTGAGTGGGCGGGGGCATGTGCTGTTTCCGGGCAGTGAGATGCATTTCGGTCGCACGCGGTGCGCACGCGCCTGGCGATGAGTTGTTGGCTCGCGAACGCTTGGGGCTTGGGGAAAAAACGACCCGCCTCACTCGATCGTCCATGAGGCGACCATGTATATTTCAGGGCCACTTCGTACACTGCCCCCCGAGGCTTCCTCGGCGGGCTCTTTCGGGACCGACTGCGACCAGCGGCCAGATCGGTCTCCCCCGCCACCTCCTCCCGCCCCTTCGGAGCCCTGCGTTCCCCGCTCGCTCGAATCCTGGGGATCTCGACAGGGCATCTGCCATGCCCCCCTGGAAGAGGGGGGGGGGAGAGCCCGAGGAGGGGAGGCGCGGCATGGCTGAAGGGCAGGACTTTGTGGACAGCGCCGGCCTCGCAACCGTGAGCGACAGTCTCCACGCGGCCCCCCGGCCCCCCTTGCACGAGCAGCTGCCCTGCGACCACGTTGGCCTGAGGCACACCTTGCTGGTCGCCGCGAGACGTGCTTGGACGCCGAGCCCCACGGGCGGAGCCTTGAGGCCAGCGGCGGCGTCGCCGCGCCACAGGGGGCCTCCTCGTGACGCGCCCAGACCTGCGCGGCAGCGCGCAGGGCCTCTGCGAGCGGCGGCGGCGGCGCCGCGCCGCAGAGGGCCTCCCCGTGGCGCGCCCTTCGTCGTCGTCGTCGTCGTCGTCGTCGTCGTCGTCGTCGTCGTCGTCGTCGTCGTCGTCGTCGTCGTCGTGCGAAGCCAGAGCGCGGGACCTCGCCGCTCACCTCGGGCGCCACCCGCCCAGGGGCGCGGAGAGCCTCGCGCCCTTCCAGGGCCCCAGCCTTCCGCCCACACGCTGCACGCCGCGAGGCCGCGTGGAGCGCGCCGAGGGCACGGCGCGCCCTCGCGCTGCCCCGAGGTCCGACGCTGCGAAGGCGCGGCAGCACCTGTGCGGGCCCCGGGCGGCCGCCTCGGGGCGGAGGCGCCCGGTTCGCGAGATGCCGAAGCGCCAGGATCTCAGGGGTCCGCTGGAGGCCTGGGTCTCCCGCCCAGCCCTCCCGAGGCTGCCGCAGCCTGCCGGCCCGTCCAGATCCTGGACCCCCCCCCCCGGATGCTCACCGATTCTCCCACGACCCTTCTCGGTCCTCGATCCTCCTCGAGGCTTCCCCTCCTTCGAGGCCCTCGATCCTCCTCGATCCTCAGGGTCCGTCGCAGTGCTCCAGGCCTGCCACGTGGGGTCCGAGTAGATGGGGGTCGAAGGATCGCTCCGCGTCGCCGATGCATCGGCGATGCGGCTCGATGTGGAACCTGATTTTTGCCCACGTCGCGGATGCATCGGGCCTATGCGGAGCGATGCCTCTGACGACCCCAGGGCCAGGCAGGCCTGCACCCCCCTTCGCAGGCCCACGCGCCGCTGAAGAGGCCCGCTCCCCTGAGCCGACGCGGGCGCTCTCGCGGAGGCCCTGCGCGCCCTCGCACGGCACGCCAGCGGGGCCGCGGGGCCGGCCCGAGGTCGGCGGGCGTGGGATGCCGGGGGCCGCCGTTGGTTCTGCCTGCCCGGGCCGAGGTTCCAGGCCAGAGCCTGAGAGGCCTCGGATCACCGACTGGATGCTGTGAGCCGGGCGGCGAGAGAGGGGGCACCTGCACAGATCTCGGGAAGGCCCATGCTGGGCCCTGGGTCGGCGTGCGCGCGCGTGTGTGTGTGTGTGTGTGCATGTGCGTGCGTGTGTGTGTGTGTGTGTGTGTGCGTGTGCGCGTGCGTGTCTGTGTGTGTGTGTCTGTATGTGTGCGTGTCTGTTTGTGTCTGTGTGTGTCTGCGTGTCTGTGTGTCTGTGCCTGTGTGTGTCTGTCTGTCTGTGTGTCTGTGTGTCTGTGTGTGTGTCTTTGTGTTTGCGTATCTACAGTCAACTGTATGCGTCCGTGTTTCTGTGTGTCTGGGTGTCTGAATGTGTGTGTGTGTGTGTGCGTGTGCGTGGTCGTGTGCGTGTGCGTGTGCGTGTGTGCGTGTGTGCGTGTACGTGTGCGAGTGCGTATGCGTGTGCGAGTGCGTGTGCGTGTGCGCGTGTGTGCGTTTGTCTGTGTGTATATGTGTGTCTGTGTGTCTGTGTGTGCGTGTGCGTGTCTGCGTGTGTGCGTGTGTTTGTATGTGTATGTGTGTGTGTCTGTGCGCTTGTGTGTCGGTGTGTCTGTTTGTCTGTATGTCTGTATGTCTGTATGTCCGTGTGTCCGTGTGTTTGTGTGTCTGTGTGTTTGTGTGTCTGTGTGTCTGTGTGTCTGTGTGTCTGTGCGTCTGTGTGTTGCGAGTGCGAGTGCGTGTGCGTGTGCGAGTGCGTGTGCGTGTGCGTGTGCGCGTGAGCGTGCACGTGCACGTGCGTGTGCGTGCGTGTGTGTGTGTGTATGGCGTGATTGTGATTTCGATTGTCATTGCGACTGTGATTGTTATTGCGACTGTGATTGCGATTGCGATTGCGATTGTGGTAGTGATTGTGATTGTGATTGTGAGTGTGAGAGTGAGTGTGAATGTTTGTGTGTGTTTGCATGTGCGTGTGTGTGTGTGTCCGTGGGTGTGTGTCTGTGTGCCTGTGTGTGTGTCGCCCGCCGCTGCCTTCCGCCGCCGCCCCGCTGCCCGCTGGCCCCCTGGCCGGCCTCGCCCCTCCGGCGCCCCCTCCTCCTGCTACTCCTCCTCCTCCTTCTCATCCTCCCCCTCATCCTCCTCCTTCTCCTCCTTCCCCCTCCTCTTCTCCTTCTCCTCCTCCTCCTCCTCCTCCTCCTTCTCCTCCTCCTTCCTCCTCCTCCTCCTCATACTCGTCCTCCCCTCCCCTCCTCCTCCTCCTCCTCCTCCTCCTCCTCCTCCTCCCCTCTCCTCCTCCTCCTCCTCCTCCTCCGCCTCCTCCCCTCCTCCTCCCTCCTCCTCCTCCTCCTCCTTCCTCCTCCTCCTCCTTCTCCTCCGTCCCCCTCCTCCTCCTCCTCCTCCTCCTCCTCCTCCTCCTCCTCCTCCTCCTCCTCCTCCTCCTCCTCCTCCTCCTCCTCCTCCTCCTCCTCCTCTGCTCCCCGTCGGCGCGCGCCGCCGACCCCGCGCGCTGGGCAGGACGTCGTGGCGCCCCCCCCAGGCCCCCAGGGCGTCCCGGGGTGCCCCACTGGATTCGCCCTGCCGTCTTAGCTCGCCTGCGCCCGGCCTGCGACTGCAGACGGCCGTGAGGCCTCTCTGTGTCTCTGTCCTGCCTGCGACTCTCACAAGTGTGTGTGTGTGTGGTGTGTGTGTGTCTGTGTGTGTCAAGCAGTGGCGAAGCGTCCTGGTGTGCGGCCTACCAAACAATGTTCTACGAACCTTGTGTGGTTTGCACGAAATGTTCTTAGAACATTTATGGCCGGGACCGTCTTGTCTTAACACATCGGGCACCTGTTCTAAGAGCATTGTTTTGCTCTTAGGGAACACTTCGTGCTAGGCCTACAGAAATGCCAGGACGGTCGATCCTTGCTCAAGTGTGTGTGTGTGTGTGTGTGGGTGTGTGTGTGTGTGTGTGTGGGGGGGGGGGGGGGGCGGGCGGGCGGGTGGGTTGAGGTGTGTTGTGTTGTCGTACTGTGCTGTGTTGTGCTGTGACGTGCCGTGCTCTTCCGTGTTGTGCCTTGTTGCTCTGTCGTGTGTTGTCGTGTGGTGTGTTGCTCTGTCGTGTTGCTGTTGTTGTGCTGTGCCGTGCCCGACGCGAGCGGTTCCCGAGGGAGCCGCGGCCCTCGAGGAGTCGAGGGCCTGGAGCAGCAGAGCGTCCGAGGGCGGCGGAGGCCGGCGGAAAGGCAACGCTCAGAGAGGGCCGGCGCCGGCGTGTGCCCGGGGTTGCTCGGCATCGGCTAGGCCGCCGTGGCCGAAGCCAGCACGATTCGATCGTGTGTTCGTTGGGGGCCTTCCTTCGGAGTGCGGTGGGGGCGTTCGTGAAGGAACGTGCCCAGGAGGCTTCGGGCCCTGGAGGATTCCTTATCTGATGAGGGCGGCGGTGATATACATGGCCACTCCACGATTGGCTTTCCACTGGCTTCCAGACCCTGGATTCCTCGTCGAAGGTTTCCTGATCCAATGCCCCTACCGTACAATAGGCTCACGAATATGAAGTTGCCTTGCCAGCGGGTGCGCCACGACACTTTCTGATCTCCCGATGGGCCTTCCCTGGGCCACCTTCTGGGAGCCTGAGGTATCGACGAAGCATGTGTTCCGAAATGTCCTATAGAATGTGCCCACCGTAGGCCTCGCCGCTGCCGAGAGCCGGACCAGCGGCCCTGAGGGTCCGCTGCCGCGGGCGCGCTCGTGCCATCCACCGGCAGCCCGAGCGGTGCCGCGTCGCCGGAGGAGCCCCCCCCGAGCGGAGCCCCGCGCGCAGGAGCGGATGGCAGAGGTGGAGTCCTCGGCGGCGCGCGGCGCGGCCGCAGCGCCCAGGCGGCGGCCCGCGGATGGGGCGGGGGGGGGCTTCTGCCGCCTCCTCGGGAAGCGCACCGCCCCGCCCGCGTGACGCTGTGCCTTGTCCTCGTCCTCCTCCTCCTCGTCCTCCTCCTCCTCCTCCTCCTCCTCCTCCTCCTCCTCCTCCTCCTCTTGCTCGTGCGCGCTGCGGCGCGCGT